TCTTTCAATTAATTGTGAACGTTTACGGGAAAGTTGTACAAAGGCATGGAGAAAGAGGAGTTTCACTAAGACGCTTCTACATTATAATTTTGTCAAGGTGAGAACATATAAAATATTTTCCTTTGATGAAATTTATAGTTTAATTTATGTTTACTTACCACTATTATTGAAAATAAAGCTCATTACTTAAATTTGATGGTGAACAATTTATAATACTATTAAAACTCGGGGTGTGCGATAGACTTACCTCCATGTGGTGCACCCTGGGCAACGTATACTCATACGGCAAAAAAGTCTATCAATGGGCAGTTGACTTCTGACTTCAAACTGCCATGACCCCACTGTTTGCCATTTTCGACTACTTCCACAGTACTCACCTCACCTTTTTTCTACCTTCGTCTTTGAAGCATTCTTCTGTCCCCCAACCCTCTCGACTTTTTTTCCACTTTGATGTTCCTTCCCCTCTGTTAAGCCTGAAGTCAACAAAAGGGCTAATGATAACCATCAAGACGCCTGCCATTTGATATAAAATAAAAATACTATTAAAACTCTGAATGGTCGAGTTGGAAAAAACCTTCCATTATAGCGAGAATTTGTCCCTTGCATCTTTAAGGGAAGAAGGCAGGACTTCTTCAATGGAAGTTCCATGGGCCTTCAAAAAATTAGGAATTCAGAAAGTTATAAATAGGTATTAATTTGTCACCCCCGACATCTTAATCTATGAAAGTAAAGCAAGTGGATTGAAATTGTTTACAAAAGTTTGTAGAAAAGAAGTTTTGGAGAGAATATAAGTTCATTTTACCAAGAATTCTAAGAACTGCAATAATTTCGAATTCAACCTTCCAGTTACTGACGAGGGTGATTAAATAGCCCACCTAGGACTAGTAATTACCTGCAGATTAATGCAAAACATCAACCTAGACCAATCAAGACCAATCTTGCGAGTTAGTCAACTGAAATCCGAAAAATGGAGTAAAAATTGAAATAAAAGGAAGCCAAAACATCATGATCTTGTAGGAACACGAGTGTGAATTGTTTCACACCATCGTTAGCAAAGATGATGATGCCGCCTCCAGATAAAGTACTGGAAGATATTTTTTTGCATTGGCATGAGTGTTAGAGGGATTCGAGAACATCTGAAGTAGATTCAACTCGCCTAAAACGCCAATCAATCAATCATCAATGGCTACAATCAGCTGCAACTACAAGCACAATGAGTCATAAAGGAAGCGACTTGCGCGTGCATTTTAGACGCAGTACACCACTCAGCGATACCACACCACCTCCCCCTCCCCCCGCCCTCCACCACCACCACCACCACCACGACTCCTCAACGCAGTATTGGCCAATTTTACACACTGACCTTAACACAACTCGAGTATTGATCAAATAGGTAAATAAGGACTAACCAAGTTCATGAGGCAATTCATGGCAGAGAACAGTCAGTGCAGTAGAAATACCCCCATTAATACCAACAGCAAAGGAGGCACCGATAGCGATACCATCACAGAAGTTATGCAGACCATCTCCAGCCACAATTGTCCATGCAATTGCCTTCACGGAGCTCAAATCATGGCTATGGCCATGATGATGACCATGGGGTTTACTGGGATGCAGAGGACCCCTTCTGGAATGTCCATGATGATGACTGTGATGAC